CCCCAAAACCCCAAAACCCCAAAACCCCAAAACCCCAAAACCCCAAGAACTTGAGGTGATATTGAATTAAAAATTTAAAACTTGAAATTTTCATCAACCCATTTCTCCCTGTCAAGATCTCTGAACTTATGTAAGATAGGAGGTTCTGAAGGAGTGATCGTGACATAATTGGGAATGAAATTTCATGCAGTTGAGCTACTTGCCTTGCCGAAGAAATTTTTAAACGTCTTCTTTCCCATCCATTTCTTCTTATTATTCAAATATTCTTTCCTATAAAGTTCTTCCTCACTGATATATGGACTGGCATTTCTTATCACGGGGACATCAAGATTGGTAGGAGGAAGCTTAGAGAATTCTTTATACCTTGTATAAAACCTAGGGTTAATCTTGATCCTGGTCTTATTGGTAAACATGTTCTTTATATGCGCCTTGGCTCCTACCAAATTCTTATTGGTCTTCGGCATATTATCTTCCTCCAAAGCAGGGTGAAGCATTTGTCTGATGTCCTTCTTGGTGCTCTCTTTTTTCGTATGCATGTCTTTGAGCAAATTTAGCTGGTAATAGATATTCATATCATAATTAGACAACTTTTTCCTGTTAAATTCATTCTGTTTCCTCAACTCAGGGTGAGTTATTTCAGTTTCGATGTAGTTCATCACTGTCTTAGCTAACTTCTGAGAATTGGTGGTGTTCCTCCTAGTGTTGTGCTTCAAAAAATCATTGAACTTATTTAACTAGCTGTTTATTTGCTGTAGACAGCTTCTCTGCATCCTCTGGTTTTATTATCTGGGTGGAAGAAGCATGCTTATTTTGAAGATTCGATTTTAAAGTTATTCTACTATCTGTTGCTGCTGTTGATTGGTTTCTCATAGTCCTTCCAGCACTGAAACATCTCACCTTACTTGGCGTTGGACCTCTTGAGTGCATTGCTGAGGAAGCTCTATTTCCTTTCCCATTCATACCCCTAGTCTGGCTCTTCCTAGAGCTAGCTCTTGTTGATATATTTCTGACTGAAAATCCTGATGTTCCCGTCCGAGCTGTTACAGGCCGGATGCCTTCTTTCTTTACCGAATTGGTCTGCATTCCCATACTGTTTCTTTTAATAAACATGGCTTTGCCTTGATTCTTGACTTCTTCATGAGGTTTAGGAGCTGCAGCAACCTTGGTATACATCATACTTCTCCTATAATTCTCAGCTTCTTCAAGAGACATGTCAGCTCGTGAGTTTTCAACGATAACTTCAAATTTATTTATTCACAAAATTATTCAAAATCTCAACTGTGGCAGGATATTTCTTCTCGATGTGGAACTGAACGGCAATTGTGTTTAAATGTTCAATCATTTCAGGACCTTTGTCAGAGTCTGCGATGGTGGTATAGTTCTTATCATACACTGATGTGGTCATCATCTGGACCGGATGGGGATCCCACATACTCTCGTTGATAGCAACAAATTCTCTCTGTAGTCCTATAGCAATCCAGTGATGCAGATGCTCTTTATTTTATAGTGCATTTCCTTTCTGTGATCTTTGATTTTAGTACCTCGTGAGTGGAGTATTTGGAGGGCTTGGGCTTATAGACTTTTACTTTAGTCATAAAGGCTCCTTCAGTTCCTCCTTCTTCAGCAGCTTTAGCATAGTGCAAACCTACGTTGCCAAGAGGGACCCATATTCCAGTTTCATTATCATCCTTTTTATACATATAATAATCTCCAGTGGCATGATCGAGGAAGACTTGGCTCCTGGTGCAATTTCTAGCGAAGTTAAGGTCAATTAAATGGATATCTTGCAGAAGTCCTCCTTTTGAATTACCATTAATGACGTTGATTTTCTCAAACGATGTTGCTCAATGGTAGACCTGCATATTGATGCCAAAACCTGCTGCAAACAGACACTTGTCTGTAAGTTTACACATTCGGAAGAGCATTGCTATCTTGGCGACCTTGGGGCTCCAAGGTAGTGAATTGGCTTCACCATCAATAAACACCATGTCAACTGAATCAAACCTCTTTTTGGATTCCTCATCAGTATGTTCACTGAGGGTCTCATAGAGATAATCATCAATATTGGTTGGGTCTTTGACTACGAACTCTATATCGCTAGAGCATTTGGCCTTGTGCCTCCGGAAAGCTTCTTTAACCACCTGATAATTTAGATTTAGAGATTTACCTTACAAAAGTTGGCAAACTTATTGCTATTTGGAGGAGTCCTTCTGTAGCCATTCAGGATTAGGATTTTCATATATGAATTATTTTATTTTAAATAATTTTTACCTTAGTTGGGGTTTTGGGGTTTTGGGGTTTTGGGGTTTTGGGGTTTTGGGGTTTTGGGG